CATGCCAAAAATCCTGAGAGGAGAATGGAGAAGGGATTGAATCATGGCCATATCCCCTGGATATGATTTCTCCCTTTCTGTGTGTCTTTCTCTCTAGTGTGTACATGTGTCCTATAGTAAAAATCTCTAAAAAAAGAAAAAGATTTGATGTATGTGTACGTTATTAAATATTACCCCAAAAAGCTAATTAACACCTAGATTCTCCAGGATAACATTTCATTATTTTCATTATTTTGTGATGAGAGCACTTAAAATCTACTCTTTTAGCAAATCTTCAATATAATATAGTATTATTAATGATATTTACCATTCTGTACATCAGATGCTCAAAACACCTTTTAACTAAAACATTGTGCTTTTGACCCACTTTCTCCATTTTCTCTACATGCCAGGTCCTGGCAGGCACTGTTCTGTTCTCATTACTAAGAGTTCAACTTAGCTATCTATCTATCTACCTATTTATTTTTATTATTATTCGTTATACATTCAATCACTATACCTCATTTAGATTGTAAAGAGACTTTACACAGTATGATATGCAGCTCAGTTCAGCCCAGTTGAGAATACTATACATGTCATCATGAACAGCTAATAAACCATATCTGTGTCCCACGAATGTCTTACCTCTCTATTTTTCCCCCAAATTTCCTTTCCTACACACATCCCCTCCCCCACTCTCCTTCCACTTTGTTCCTAGCATCCATGACAATGTTCAATGCTTTTATGTCCTCCAGTCTTTCAGTCTCTACTAGAGAGTACGGACAGTCAGTATATGTTAAATGGAGACATACAATGTCTCTGTTTCATAGCCTGACTTGCTTCACTCAACAATAAATCTTCCATATTCGTCCACTTTCTATCAAATGCCAAGGTCTTGTTTTTTAATAGGTGATATATAGTATCTCTGTCTGCATTATTTTGTTTAATATAAAACACCCCAGATTCATCCCTGTCATCTATAATAAATGGCAAGATTTACTCCATTTTTTCTTTTTTAGTGGTTGCATTATATCTCATTCTATACAGCTCCTTCATTCTTTTATCCATGTATCCATTGAGGGACATTTAGGTTTTTTTCACATATTGGTTATTATAAATAATGTTTCAAGGAACATAAGATTAAAGATATTTCTTAAAATTCTGCTTTCCATTCCTTTGGTTGTATATCCAGAAGTAGGACTGTTGGGTTATATGATAGCTCTATTCTTAAATTTTTAAGTAACTTTCATACTGTATTCTGTAATGGATATACCAATTTACACCTTCACCAACATTATAGAAGGTCCTTTCCTCTACACCATTTCTTAGCCATGAGGGGACACTGGAGTCACTTCGATATTATTCCAGAACTTGTCATATATATGTCTTCTAGTGCAACCTGGATGTGGGATTCTTTAAAATACATGCATTTTGTTATTTTTTAATTATTATTTTTTATATTTGATCTCTGTATATCATTACAGAATATAAAAATGAATCTTTCTAGCAAGAATACACTCTATTTTAGTCCAGTCAAAGATGTTACATACATTTTTTTTTAGAGATTTTTAGTGAGTGGTTTATTAAGGACAAACATATCATTAAAAAAATTTTTTTTTGAGATTTTTGCTATGCGGCACTCATGCGGACTTAGAGATACGGATGTCCTATAGTCATCCCAAGTTTAATGCACACACACAAAATTTCACATTCTAAACCTTACCCAGTATTTGTTTCTACCCTGATCTTCTCCAAATGAGAAAATATTGACACAGATCACACAGTAGGGTAACAATGTGCCTGTCTTAATGCTTAGTCCCTCAATGTTCTTTACAAAATCCATCCATGCATTATCATAACCTGACTTCAAAATGTTTCTGTAGACTCACTGCTTTTCTCAACCGTAACTGAAATGAAAAGAAAAAACTATTAAATCCTACCCTGCTCAAAAATATTGTGGTACTTTTTTTTCTTCATTGAATTTATATCTTAATAAACAAAGGACTACTTATCTATATATCAACTATATATCAAACTTCTATAACCCACCTACGATATGCCATTTGGAAGATCTTCTGGACATCATTGAAGTCTTGGAAATCCCTGGAGGCCATTATCAGTATTTTCAGTTATCTTTCCCACCGATAGGAAATAGATTTCTAAGTAGACCCACTACCTCCTGCTTCTAGGGTTCTAGTACCATGACAATCATTTAGAGTGATGCCTTGATGAGAGTGACATGATTGAGCACTCCTTCTTCCAAATTATGAAAAAAAAAGGCCTCACAGACGATCTAGTTCTGAGGTAAATACTCAAAGTGTACTATTGCTGAGGATGCCCTAACAAAGCAAATGGAGGGACCAGCAGTTAGCGTAATGGCTATGTCGCTGGACTCCCACGTAGTCGACTGTGGTTCGTGTCCCGGACCCGGTGGCTTAAAACTCATGCCGGGCGCGTGTGCGTGCGTGCCCAAGATCCCGAGAGGAGAATGGAGGAGAAGGGATTGTGGCGTGACCATCCCCCCTGGGGGGTGATTTCTCGCTTTCTGTCTCTATGTCTCTGTCTGTCTGGTGAGCGCACGCGCCCTACAGTGAAAATCTCTCCAAAAACAAACAAACAAACAAACAAAAACAAAGCAAATGGATTCTGGATATTGATATTCTTTTAAAAATTAGGAAGGTCTATTAGTCGCCGCAACTGCAACACCCCAGGTGATAAAGTGACTCACTCAGTTCAGTAAGGATGTTTGTGAAACAGTGGTTGTGATTTAATTATCACTTTATTAGGTTTACCTTAACCTGAAGGTATTCCACAGGAAGTGGGGAATTGAAGGAATCCATGGCCCCTGCATCTGTCAAGTCCAGCTGTGGACTTCTCTGAAATTCTCAGAGGGAATGTGGGGACATTTGAATGAAGACTTTCACAGGAGTCTGGAGCTGCCACAGCTCTTATTTGCCAATTACTATCCTAGGAAATACTGCTCCACAGCTAGGAAGCCAAGGGAGAATGAATAAAACACAAGTTCCAATAAGACCTGGGATTTATACTTTTGGATTAGTGCTATAACTCTTGTCCTTGAGAAGGGCTTTGCACTTAATATAGAATTTGCAGGGTGAACTAATGAATGAAAATGTAGTCTCTCCAAAATATTTACTCCTCATGTAACTATAAAGTAATAAACTAACCACTGGACTGTTGGCATCTTCCAAGCTATAAGCACACTTAGAAACAAACCTTGTATTCAGGGACATGGGAATCGACATCTACCTATACAGGTCAGGGAGTGGGGTGAGCCCATAGTCACTTTCCGGTGATGCCCAAAGATCTGAAGTCCTTTTCCACATTGACAAGTATGTCATTAAATGTTTTATAAGGAGAATGTAGAGGATTCATGGGTGTACCTGTAGGGTTCTACCTTTTCTTTCCTTTGAAGGGCACTGGATTTGCTCCCTGAGTGAAGTTTGCATGGAGTTGCCCCTCCCCAACAAAGTGACTCAGGTGTATCACATCTGGAAATATTTTTGTTTACAAATTCACTTGAAGTTTTAATGGATTGTTCAACCATTATAGTCATAGGGATCAAGTGATAAATTAACCACGGGTGAACATCTGCTGGTCACATCATTCATTTATTTAATTTTATAGCATTTTTCCTGACCATAGTTGTACCTGAATGAAGTCTTTCACGGAACCCGGGCCCTGCCACAGCTCTTATTTGCCAATTACTATCCTAGGAAATACTGCTCCACAGCTAGGAAGCCAAGGGAGAATGAATAAAACACAAGTTCCAATAAGACCTGGGATTTATACTTTTGGATTAGTGCTATAACTCTTGTCCTTGAGAAGGGCTTTGCACTTAATATAGAATTTGCAGGGTGAACTAATGAATGAAAATGTAGTCTCTCCAAAATATTTACTCCTCATGTAACTATAAAGTAATAAACTAACCACTGGACTGTTGGCATCTTCCAAGCTATAAGCACACTTAGAAACAAACCTTGTATTCAGGGACATGGGAATCGACATCTACCTATACAGGTCAGGGAGTGGGGTGAGCCCATAGTCACTTTCCGGTGATGCCCAAAGATCTGAAGTCCTTTTCCACATTGACAAGTATGTCATTAAATGTTTTATAAGGAGAATGTAGAGGATTCATGGGTGTACCTGTAGGGTTCTACCTTTTCTTTCCTTTGAAGGGCACTGGATTTGCTCCCTGAGTGAAGTTTGCATGGAGTTGCCCCTCCCCAACAAAGTGACTCAGGTGTATCACATCTGGAAATATTTTTGTTTACAAATTCACTTGAAGTTTTAATGGATTGTTCAACCATTATAGTCATAGGGATCAAGTGATAAATTAACCACGGGTGAACATCTGCTGGTCACATCATTCATTTATTTAATTTTATAGCATTTTTCCTGACCATAGTTGTACCAAGAACTATTTTAAGTGTTTGGTCATATCATTAATGGCAAAACATACTAAAAATACACCCTTACATATTATCATGAATAAGAAGTAACACAAGTAAACAAAAAATATAACAAATTATCTAAGTCACAAGAAATAAAAAACACTATGTAAAAATGAAAGTATAACAGGTAGTGTATAAGGGACTCAAAGTTGAGGGCAAAATATAACTTTAAATCATGACATCAACATGCTGGCCCTGCTGCCTCTTCCATTAAATGCTTTGCCTTTCACGGTGAGTTCAGGGACATTCCAGGCTACTATTGCCATGGAATCCACTCTTTACCATGGAACACATGGAACTTAAATTTTATGGTAGTGCCATTTCTAAGAATCCTTTGTTACAGTTACTAGGCAGTATTAGCATATGTTTGAATAAATAAAGCACTTCCCTAAAGTGTGGTCTTGGTCTAAATGGAACTACTGAGTGTCTTAATTGAATTTACCTATGAGCTGTATCTGAAAGATTGTTTATGCTCACTAAGCAAACTTTTTGTAGTCAACACTGTTTACTTCTCGCAGCAGAAAACATACACAAAGAGTAAAATATGTTCTATAATGAATTTGGAACTGGGGTCATAGAAATTGCTCTCCAAATGTACCATGAATGAGTACTCTCTACTATGTCAACACTAACGATGTCATTTATTTGGGGACTGTAACCATCTGGAAGTTTCAGAGAGTCCAAGGTGAAAAAGATAATGCCATCTAGCACCCCATTTCTTCCATGCATGCTGGTGATGCAGACCTGTAATGATGAATGGAGAGCATGAATATTCAATGCATAATATCCTGCAAAAAGCAGTATGCCTCCTCTCTCAGGATCTAACATGCAAGTCACTGCATCCCTATCACTGATTCCCAACCTGAGTGTCACACTGTCAAATCCTGTGGGTGCTTAGAAAAAGTACCTGTGCCCAGAATTAACCTCAGACCATTCAAATCAGTACCTCTGAGGGATGGGTCCCAGGTCTCTGATGAGAAACCCTGCTCGCAATAGTCATTGACTTCTATTTTACTTAATGGCCTTCTAATTTTCAGGGTGCACTCTCCCTATGGTACCCAAATTGTATGAGGAATTGGAAGTTCAACATCCCATTCCATTCATTTCTCCTCACTAATTGTTCTTCTTCCAGGTGTTCTCAGAAAACCCTACTAACAGGCTACCACCAAATAAACTCCATAATGTTGACCTTAATGACATGCACAATGTCCCGTTTTCTAATTATTTCATGCTATAGGTCATGCCTTTTCAATGAATCAACTGGCTCCTCTTGGCAAATGTATATTCTCTCTTTCTCTCTTTTTTTTTTTCTTTTTTTTTTGAGAGGTTTTTTCGCTACAGGGCGTGTGCACTCGCCAGACAGACAGAGAGAGACATAGAGACAGAAAGCGAGAAATCACCCCCCAGAGGGGATGATCACGCCGCAATCCCTTCTCCTCCATTCTCCTCTTGGGATCTTGGGCATGCACGCACACGTGCCCGGCATGAGTTTTAAGCCACTGGGTCCGGGACGCGAACCGCAGTTGAATACATGGGAGTCCAGCGACATAGCCATTACGCTAACTGCTGGCTCCCCAAATGTATATTCTCTACATTTCCTAGCATATAGCATAGAAGACTTGGCACAAAAATTATCACTAAAGAAGGATTGGAAGATACAGATAATAAATGCCACAAAGAAACAAGTTACCTCCTCCAGATGCCTATAGAACAAGGGCTTCATGGAGAGTGCCTTGATGTTGGATGTGCCTGACAGGACGCAGTACTCAACGTCTATCCAGTCACCCTTATAAGGCGTAAAACCTGAAACAATTATGAAGAAATGTTAATGTAGTATATCTTACCTTAGGTCATGTTGGATTTCACAAGTAACTTGGACATGCTTATACCCTAAAATGTCTTCCACTAGAGTTAATGTACACTGTATGTATTTATCCACACACCTTATAAATCCTTCTGCAGAGGAAGTTTATAATCCTTGAGGAAATGATTTTCCTCTAGTCATTGTTAAATTCAAATGGTGTGCAACATATTGTATCATGGTCAATCTTTTTGGGAACAGCACAGGATGTATTCAACTCTTGCTCACATTCACACTTTCTCTAGACTAGTAATCAAATTCATAGTAAAAGACATATAGTTTGAACTTGGCTATTTGTGTTCAAATCATGTACCTGCCACTTTTTCAGTCAGCCACCTCAGTCATGGTGATTATCTCTCAGAGCTTATTTTATTCATCTATAACCTGAGAAAAATCATAACAGCCCTCATAACATAGAGTTGCTATGATAGTTGATCGAAATGTTAAAAACTTATTGAATAAAGCCTGGCACATAGTAATCATGAAATAAATGTTGGAAATAAATGTTGGTTAATAATTTTGGTAGCAGCAGCACTAATAAGAGACATTTAAAAGTTTGGGGACATGCTTAATATATACTGAATAACTGCATGTTATAGCTGAAACTGGAAGATTGGAAGGTATAAAAGCAAGAAGAGTAACTGTAGATATTAGAAACAGTATAGATGTGGATAGGTAATAGTGAGTGGGTAATAGGGGGTGAAAGGGAGGATATCAGGAAAAATACAAACAAAACTCTAAATAGACACAAAAGTAAAAACTTATATGCTGATGATAATGCATATGGTAATGTCTTTGACTTGACACAGTATCCATGCTGGGAAAAACCATGTACATTGTAAAGATATATACTGATTAAATGTACATTTAAAAATTGTATATATAGGTTAAAAACTTTTTTAAGTTTGAGAATAAATGGAATTAAAGTATGAGTTGATTTTGAAGAAAAACAACTTTGAAATCCATGCTCAGTGGTTTTCATTTTCGATAAACCTTTTGAATACCTCTCATATTCCTACCTTGAGAATGAATCAGTTTTTCCAGGTTCGTTAGTCAGGTAATGAACACTTAAATAGGTATCTTATTCTTACAGTAATGAATATGTAGTTTCAAACAGAATTTGAATAAAAAGTGAAGGGTAAGTCAAGAATAACTATGGAACTTGCAAGGATCCTGACCAAGTGGCAATCTCAAACACTGCAGGTGTGAGTGCAAATTGGCACAAGTGCTCAAGAAAAGTAGCAATATTCACAAAGCTAAACATTGCTTTACTCTATCGCCAAGTATTGTTAAATGACACAAGACATTGGGTTGGACCTCTTCCCTCTCTATGTTAACCCTTATATATTTCTTTGGTGTGGGTTTACAGAATATCTGTGGGGTGATTAGTCAAAAATGTATGTTGCTCCAGCTCTAATCAATGTTAGATTCAGTTGTCCACATGCAATATGAACTGTAACATATCTGAAGCTGAGTTATTGCTATTATTCTCATTCACAACATTTTCCTAATCTCAGTCTGCCACATCTCAAATTGACAGCTCCCTTCTACCATCACTCAAACAGAAACCTTGCAGCTACCTTTGACTCCCATTCCTTCACACCAAAGGTGCAGGATATCAGCCAATGCTTTCAGGCCTGACTCTAAAATATATCCAGAATTCTTAGAAGCTCCTCTACTATACACTCATCCAAGTCTCTATCATCTCTGGTTAGGACTATTCTAATGCTATCTTAAGGGATTTCCTCCCTCTACCCTTGTCCCACATAATCTCCACAGACAGACAGACAAACAACAGAATGAATATCTTAAAGCAAAATGAAGGACAAGACCTCTTTTAGACTCAAGAAAACAAAAACAATAAGCTGCCTAGAGGGGCTAAGCTAATTTCTCCTTTTGTATCAAGGTATTTGAAAGCTGTATTAGGTTCAAAGAGCATAAATAAGTACAGCGTTTTTTTTTTTTTTTGAGAGGTTTTTGCTGTAGGGCGTGTGTGCTCACCATAAAGACAGAGAGGGACAGGGAGATAGAAAGCAAGAAATCACCCCCC